CCACATTCTCAAGTCCTGTTGTGATTTTGCAGCAGCATATCTAGACATTGTAGTTATTCACAGCTCCTCATGGGAACAATATATGTCATTTGAGATTGGTAACCAAAGCCTTAAGGAATGCAGGACTCTTTGCTAATCCTAAGAAATGTTTTTTTAGGAGCCAGTGAAGCCAATTATTTGAGTTACAACATTGGTAATATATAATGTCACAAATGAATACAATTCAAGTAATGAAAAACTGGCCCACACCACACACTGAGAAAAAAAAAAAGGTTTTCTTAGGGTTAGCCAGGTATTATAGGCGCTTCATTCCTGCATTTGCTACTATTTACCCTTACATGATTTAACAAGAGCTGTGCAGATAACAGCTTTTCCAAAAAAAGTTGTCCCATCCTTTTTTAACTATACACAGATCATACTCCCTTATAGTGACTCCTTAATAACAAAGATCAGAACAATTGGATTACCAGATGGTCGCCATGTATTCAGAGATTTGTTTCAAATTGCACACACAGTGCTGGCAAACAACAGGGAAACGTGTATGGTCTCTAACATATACATTGCTTGTTTTCTGATTCCCGCCATTCCGGGGATGAGACACAACACAAGGAGGGGGAGTGTAAAATCATCCAAGGTTGGGTAAGGAAGGGGGGTATTTTTCCCATAGTTTGCGTATATACTTGATATACATCTAGACCCCAAAAAGATAGCTGACCAGATTCACAAGATGGCCTCCTGAGAGAAAAGCTATTATACACTATTGAGCCAGTAAAAGGTCGATGATCTTGAACCTGCAAATGGCTGCATTTTTTACTGTATTTGTTGATAGATAGTACATCCGTCCATTTTCTTAACCGCTTTATCTATTACAGGGTCACAAGGGATGCTGGAACGTAACAGGAGAAGTTGTGGGTGCAGGGCAGGACACACCCTGGACGGGTGTCATTGCACAACTGTATTTGTTGCCTCAATATATTTCAGCTAAATTCTAAACACCTTTTGTACACCACTATACTGTATTTTTTATCTTAATAAATGTTATTTAAACATGTACAGTATTAACATCTCTTATTTCTACATCTCTACATTATTTCTACATTTCTAAACATATCAGATGTTAATGCCAAATTTTGATACTGCATATGATT